ACCCGGTGATGCTCAGGGGTTACTCCTGGCTCATGCACACAGGAATTACTCCTGGCTGTGCTTGGGGGACCATATGAAATGCTGGAAATCAAACCCAAGTGGGTTGCGTGCAAGACAAACACCCTACCCTCTGTACTATCGCTCCAGCCCCTGCAAACGCACTCTGACTCCACTCATTTAAGCTGGACCAACCCTAGAATGAAGCCAAGCGACTAGAGAGTGGACACAGTGGCTAGGGAACTTGCCTTGCGTGTGACAGACCTGGGTTCAATCTTCAACACTCTGTATGGCCCCCAGAGCCCTGCCAGGAGCCACCCCTGAGTACCCATGATCATGTTTAAGCCATGCATGCACACGAAGTGCTCTCCTGCATCTATACAGGTGCATACTCACATACTGTCACACGGCATGCGTGTTCGCACAAGGAGGCTGTGTGTGCTCATGTGAGGATGCATATGCTGTTGCGTGTGAGGGTACAAGCGAGGGTGTGTGTGAAGATGCGTGTGTGGGTACACGCGGCGGTGCATGTGAGGGTGCATGCTTGTGAGTATCCATGGGTGAGTGTGCAATGCCTTTGAGTGTACCCGGGTGTGCCTGCTGTGCCCGTCCCTACTGCAGGAAAGCAGTCTGGGGAGTGCTTCCTGCCTGGGTGCAGGGATGACCCTTTTCCCTGGGAATGACCTGGCAGGGAGCCGGGAGCAGCTCTCTGCCCCGCTGGGACTTGACTCCATGACCCCCATGAAGACTCTTGTCGTCTCTCTTGGCATTTCAGCAGAGTAGTTGTCTGCATCTCCATGTCCGTTAAAAAAAGTAAATTTTTTTTAATCAGTGCAAATTTTATTTATTTATGTTTATATTTTTAACTAATCACGTGAGATACAGACTTACAAACTTTCGTGATTACATTTCAGTCATACAGTGATCGAGTACCCATCCTTCCACCAGTGCTCATTCTCCACCACCAATGTTCCCAGGATTCCTTCCGCCACCCCCCTATCCCACCTCCCCCCACCCTTGCCCCGCCACCTCTGTGGCAGATGCATTCCCTCTTACTCTCTCTCTCTCTACTTTGGGGTGTTAGGGTTTGCAATACAGGCAGTATGTGGCCATCATATTTGGTCTATAGTCTACTTTCAGCACACATAAGAAAGGAAATTTAAAATACTTCCAGTTTCCTGGAGTAAAGTCCTGTGCATCATGTACTCTAGGAAGAATATTTTCAGTAACTGACTTTTGGTCTCTGGTATGACTATTCACTAACATACTGTTACTCTCCTCAGAATGTCTCAGAGCACTGTACTTCTTGATCTCTGATGGGCAGTTTATTTTAATAGTGGGGGCTGGAAAGATGGTATAGCAAGTAAGGTACTTGCCTTACATATGGTGAACCTGGGTTCAATTCCCCAGAACCCCATATGGTCCCCCAAACTCTGACAGGAGTGATCCCTGAGCACAGACTCAGGAGTAAACCATGGGCACAGCTAGGTGTGGCACCCCCCAAATAAATAAAATTAGATACATAAAATATAAAGACAGAAAACAACAAACAACATAGACTGTAGAATCTTTGGTTTGGAAGCAATTAATAAATTTATTCTAATCATCAACACATTTAAAAGATTAGCTAGAGGAAAGTTCTTAAGTGTCTTCCAACATGGCATCTGGGATCACACACATGTGCTTGATACTTTTTTCTCTCTCTCTAATTCACTACTGAATTTAGCTCAAACCTGTTTACTTATTTTTTGATAACAGGAAAGAACAAATGCTTTTAAAAGGCATTTTTATTGAAGTCACAATGGTGATAACATCATGTAAATTTCAAGTGTACCGTAGAGTGCATCAGCATCTGTGCACCTTCTGTTGGAACCCTACTGAAGTCTAGTTTCCACGCATCCCCATACACCTCACCTATCCCTATGAGCCTATTTCTGCCGCCAGCCACCCTCTGCAAGCACCCATCTCTCTCCCTAACAGTTTTGTTTATTCACTTGCTTTGTTCTTTCCTAGTTCACATTGACCCGAAAGCACATCTTTGTCTTTCTCGATCTGACTTTTTTTTTTAATGTAGGAGTACTGCTGTTAATTCAGCCACAGATTAGGCTGATTAAATTGGGCATGAACTCCACCTTACTTTTTTTTCCATTTTTTACAATTTTATTTATTGAATCACTGTGAGAGCAGTTACAAAGCTTTTGGGTTTAAGTCTCGGTCATACAATGAAACACCTGTACCTTCACCAGTACCCATTCTCCACTATCAAAAACCCCAGTGTACCCCCATCCCACATCCTCCCCCTACCTGTGGGGCAGATGATTTCCACATTACTCTCTCTATACTTTGATTACATCCAATATTTTGACACCAGACCCACTATTATTATTTGGGATTTTACCCCAACACTCAGATCTGCCGAAAAGGCAACAGTAGACAACGTGTTTTCTATTGCTGGTTGATCTGACTCAATTCACCAAGTCTAACACCCTTGCCAAGCCCCATCCAAGCTGGGCCCCGTTGGCAAAGCTTCCTCTTTCTCTTGAGTTCTAGTTTGTGTTCTTTTTCCATGTGTTGGTCCCTGGATGCTTGGGTTGTTTCCACGCCTTGGTTCTTGTTAATAATGTCACAACATACCTAGGGGCACAGGTGTCTTTTGTTTCCAGGTTCTTTGGCTACATACCCACAAATAGAAGAAAGAAATCTTAGGATGTTTCTATTCTTGAGCTTTTGGGGACTGTCTGTGCTCTTTTGCAGAGGGACTGTCTGTATCATTTTACTTGCTCCTAGTACGAGACAGGGACAAATAAATACTAAAGTGAAAATCTTCAGGACAGCCGTTTCCAAATGGAAAGGCAGACACTAACTGACAACAAAAGAGATGTGAAAATCATACATCTGAAAGGGGTTAACAGCCAAGTATAGAAAGTACTCAAGGGTGCTGGAGAGATCACACAGTGGGTAGGGTGCTTGCCTTGGCACAGACCCTGAGCACCGCTAGATGTGGCCTCAAAACAAACAAACAAAACCTCGTATAACCCAATAATGGAGAGAAAAAGGGTCCAAAGAGCTGAATAGCAAACTCCGTAGCACCGTAGCACTGTCCTCCCGTTGTTCATCAGTTTGCTCGAGCGGGTCCAGTAACGTCTCCATTGTGAGACTTATTGTTACTGTGTTTGGCATATCAAATATGTCACAGGGAGCTTGCCAGGCTTTGCCCTGTGGGCGAGATACTCTTGGTAGCTTGCCAGGCTCTCCGAGAGGGGCGGAGGAATTAAACTTCGGCAGGGTTGACTGCGTGCAAGGCGAATGCCCTACCCGCTGTGCTGTTGCTCCAGCCCGGGAAACTCCGTAAAAATATTTTTATTTAAAAATGTATATAAAATAGTTTATTAAAATTTTTACATAAGATATTTTAATAAAAATATATTTTAAAAAATTTAAGATGATCAACAGGCACCTAAAACGCTCAACCTCTTTACCTTGAAGGGAATTCAAATTTTATTGAAAACATATGCTTCCTTTTACTTTCTGTGAGTTCTAAAGACCCCAACAGGGCTGGAGGAGTCTAGCAGGTATGGCCCTTGTCTTGCAAGCAGTCGACCTGGGTTTGATCCCCAGCATCTCATATGATTCCCAAGTACCACCAGGAGTAATTCCCAAGTACAGAGCCGGGAGTAACTCCCGAGCACAGTCGAGTGTGTCCAAAAACCAAAATAAATAAAGACCCTAGTAATGTTCTTTAATGCCATTTTGTTTTGTTGGGGTCGGCAGGTGGAGGGGGCATATCCCACTGAACACAGGACTCACTCCTGGCTCTTTCTTCAGGGTGGGACCATATGCTGGGGACTGAATGGGGCTGGGCCAAATACGAGGCAAATGCCCCCACCCATCGTCCTATTCCCCTCTCTAGCCCTATTCTATGTAAAATGAAACCCTTACTTCTTTTCTGGCAACTCCCTACGCACTCTAGAGACACCCCACCTCATGACACTGACTTCTCAGAGAGGTAGCGGAGTTTGGGGGAAGGGCTTGGGCTCCACCTGACCCCCCATTCACAAAGGAAGTTCCTTCGGGTTTGCGGGTCATCAACCTCTTTCACAGGGGCTTCCGTGGAGATGACAGGCAGGGCCCAGCGCCCAGAAAGGGCACATGGGGAGAGTCCACTAGGGTCCGCTGCCCTCTCTCCTAATTAGCGGCGTGGCTGAGAGGCCACTGGCAGGCACCCCGAGAAACGCGTCGTGGTTGTTCTGCAGCAGATTGTAGAGTCCACATCTAGGTCGCTGAGATGCCGCAGAGTGTGGTTGTGAGGGTTTGGGAGGAGCAGGACAAGCCTGGGGAGTCACTGCTGGTGGGACCCTCTTCTCAGACAAGCTTGATGTCCAGCAAGTGAGCGGGATGCTCAGGCACACCCTTCCCTTCACGCCCAGAGCTTTCACTTGTTGAGGAAATGAACACCTGGAGAGGTCGCCACTGAGAGCAATTTCTTTTCTTCTTTCTTTCTTTCTTTCTTTCTTTCTTTCTTTCTTTCTTTCTTTCTTTCCTTCCTTCCTTCCTTCCTTCCTTCCTTCCTTCCTTCCTTCCTTCCTTCTTTCTTTCTTTCTTTCTTTCTTTCTTTCTTTCTTTCTTTCTTTCTTTCTTTCTTTCTTTCGAGAGAGCAATTTCTAAGCCTTCCCTGAAGCCAGAGCACCTGAGACCACTTCTCCTGCCTTTGACACCGGTTCCTTCTGATCTCAGACTATAATGCACTGAGAGCTGGCCAGCTTGCTTGCTTCAACCAGTCAAACTCAGACCATCTCTAACAACATAAAGGGGCAACACAAGAGCACGAGAACGCCCCCCCCCCCGCCACTCTGAACAGAAGGCTTGGAGGCTGGATGCGAGAGGTCCCCAGAGTGACCTGCAACTTAACTTTAAGCATCACTCTGCAATTACTTCCAAAATAGTCACCAGATTCATCCAAGGCATTTTCATTCTTTTTGTTATTTATTATTATTATTATTATTATTATTATTATTATTATTGGTACTACAATACCAGGTCGATGCGTAGAGTGAACGGAGCAAGCTCCTATTCCAACTTCTAGTTCCAAAAATCCATTTAATATATTGTCCTCAGTTAGAGGACATATCAAATATTAAACTGATAAGAACAGACACTACACTTGATCTTAGCCAAAAGGCCAAGAAGCAATTCTTTTTTGTTTTTTTAAAGTAAAATTGGTTGGTGGTTGTGAAAATAATTCTTGTTCATTGTTTTTTTTTTTTAAATCAATCATTGGGCCCTGTCTAGTAGGGCTTAATTCTTGTTACATACCGACACTGTTTGCCTTGTGAGAGGTAGACCTGGATTTTATCTCCAGCACCACAAAGAGTCCCCTGAGTCCCACCATGAGTGATCCCTGAACACAGAGCACAAAAGTAAACCCTGAGCACCAACAGGGCCAGGTATGGTCCTAAATCAAAACAAAACAAATCAAATACCAAGAGAAAGAGAAAATGAACAAAATCCCTAATGCTACAAACTATTGGGCCAAAATTTCCTCATAGACCCTCCTTCTCCTCTCTTCTCCTCTCTCTTCTCCTCTCTCTCTCCCTCCTCTCATCTCCTTTCATTCTTTATAAACACAGACACACCTAGAGGTGCTTAAGATCATATGCATGAATTCCGCAAACTGCAGAATTATATTATGACATCTTTCTCTAATTAGGTATGTGTGCATATGTATGGATTGTCTTTAGATTCTTTCTTGTGAGCCGAAAGTTTGAGATGCCTATTTCCGTCATGAAAATGGAAGAATAATATTTTATTCTAAGTTACTTACAAAATTTGGATGAACAATTTTTATCAATTTTGGTTTCATTGTAATATTAAAAGTAAGTTTAGTGGAGTTCATGCCCAATTCAATCAGCCTAATCAATGACTGAATAAATAGCAATACTCCTACATTTAAAAAAAAGTAAGTTTATAAAGAAGGTTCTAACAAACACCTCTTTAATCCCTTAGGCTAAGCCTAATTGGAATCAATTCTTTGAAGAGGGATCAGTGGCTAAACAAGCAGCATCACTCATTAATTTTATCTAGCATATATAACATATAATGCATGCAACATATAATAAATATTACAATGGCATGATGACATATGTAACTGTAAATAGTATAAGGATATTTTACATTTGTAATTTTCTATGTAATTATCTTGCACACACATATAATTATAGATCGGCATATACACTTGCTAGAGATTTTTATGAACCCAAATGGTTTAGCAGTACTCAATTCGGTGACATTAAACCATAGCAATAATGTCTTTTAGATATAGCACTTTATTTTCTTTCATTCACATCATAGGACTTGAAATTCCTCCAGGCACCAGCAAATGAAAAATTACCTCTATATCCTGAAGTAGGTCCGTAGCCCCCAAGCCTCTGAGGAGAATTCCCTGTCAGTTGGGACGCAGAGAAGAAAGTGAGTCTTTGGCAATAAAGGAAGGAGGAAGCAGCTTGGATTGAAAAACAAGTCGCTGGATTCTGGAGTGGTGGCCCAGAAGCCAGAGAACGCAGCAGTCAGAAAACTCCGCATTTCTCCTGAGCTAAGTCGGACCTCACATGGTGGACGGTTGATGAAAATGCCGCGGCATGTCTCAAACAGTCATTTTCTCTTGCCTCTCGCCTTTAATTTGCTTCTTCTTTTCCTTTTCCCTTCTGCTGCCCATCTGATGACCTTTTGTGGCTTCTTTTTTTCCCCTTCATCGTTTGCAAGAATTAAAAATGATAAGCACCCACGGAGACATATCACGATTAGCTCCCCCTTACGAACAAAATGCAGCCGGGGAATAAATACAGTGAGCGTTCACACACACACAAAAAAGTGAAGAATAGAAAATTGTTTAAGTGGCCCAAGAAAGTTTGGCCTATTGTGCAGCGGAGCGAGCGATGCCAGCTATATGTAAATGCGGGCAGTGGCCGGTGCTCCTGTGTCCACTTTGAAGTTGCCATCTGAATTTAATTCTGCCTTTGTGATTAAATCAGGCCATTACGTTTAATCTCACTTAATAGTAAGACGCGTCCTTTGTGGTTTTCTATAGGCAACATATTCGGCCCCTAACATATACAGCTTGGTATTCACGCTTTACTATTAATCCCCCATGCCTGATAATTGCTTCATCCCCAAGCCCTCTGTCCGATTCACAAGGGGCTGATTGGGGCTATTCTTCCGCTATACATTAATGCACTGTTTGGGTCTTGCTTCTTTGGCTCAGTGAACCCTATCAATCTGTCCACATTTTCTGGGCATGTGGACGTATTGTGAGGTGTTAAATTAAATCCTGTGTTGACTGCACCCCCAGCCTCTCTCCACCCCCACACACACACTCACCCAACACCAGACTCTATCAGCCCCTGCGACTTAACTGATTGACAAGTGGATCTACTTTTTCACTCAAAATCCTGTCATGAAACAATGGCCACAACAATAAGCCAGCACTTTTGTTTCTAGGCAAACTAGGGGTTTCACCCATCACCCCACAATCACTTGCTCTGGTCCAGTTAATGCAGGGAGTGGGAGTGACGGGAACTTGGAGAACCATCCTAAGGAGCTTGCAGATTTAAAATGAATTTTCCTTTCTGGATTCCCCTCCCCAAAGTGTGGGCTGAGTGGAGGAGTCTTCGGACTTGTTATCTGCTCCGTGAATGGCTCAGGCTTATATGGGGGGTTGGGGGGGGGGGAGAGGAACTGGGCCAAACATCCGTTGACTGAACGGTCTTCTGTCTTTTTTATTTTTTTGCACCTAAGGTAATGGATACAGCTCATTTTAATGTTAAGCTTCACAAAGCCAAGAGGCTTTCTTTTCTCACCCATTCATTAGCCGGGCAATAGTCACTAAGCTTGCCATTGTGCTCATTTAGGAATACTGGCATTATCAATTTGACTTTGTGTTCCAAAGTGTTATTAGCTGCTTTTGTCTCATTTATAGGAACCACATTTAGAACGGAGAGTGGGATCCATAAGAGCTACACAGATACCGCCGTCTCATTCTGTCAACAACTTCTCCCAGTTAGTCTATGTCCAGACGTCCCAATGCTCGGGAAAGCTACTTGCATCGATTTTTCTTATTATAAAACTATCTTAATCATTTTAGTATCGTTGAGTACATAACTGACCATCATGCTGGTAGTCACTGAATATAAGCAATCCTATATTTGTCAGGGAAAAATCTTGAAAGTTCACAAGAAGTCAAGAAAGAATTAAAAACCCTGGCAGATCCCAGTGTCAGAAATGCTATTTTTTTTTCCATTTTGGTGCATTTTCCTAGAGAGGTTTTTCTTCTATAACATGCATATGAATACACTCATGACTACAGGTAATCTACATAAAAACATGAATACCATTGAGGGGGGAATTTCCAAAGATTTTTTTTTCATGATGAGCAATTGATATATTGAGAAGAGCATGCCATCGTGGTATTAAGGTCTCATATTATTTTGTTTGATTTTATTTTTCGATGTTACCAGGGATGTACTTCAGCATGTCATGCACTAATACCATCCCTGGCCCTGAACTTAGGCTCAGCCCTGGTCTCTTATTTTCAAAAAGATTTTTCACTTTGGAACAATTTCACTTTGGATAAGCTACAAAGCTAGTGCGTGTGTGTTGGGGGGATGGGGGGAAGCTTAGTTCTCACCACCATCAGCATCTCACAGAACCATGGAACAACCGAGAACCAGAGAACTTTAAAGGATATAGTTAAAAAAAATACAGTTCCTTCACCAGCTTCATAGACCATAAAATAAATACAGTAAGTTCTCACTTATCATTATCTGTTCTTTCTTGAAGCCTGACTTGAAGTGAAACAATGCAGAAACTAAATCATGTTTACCAGAGGCTAACGAAGCTTACCTTCTGTGAGCACAGCTCTGGTCACACAAATCACTGTCACTGTCACTGTCCTCCTGTTGTTCATCGATTTGCTCGAGCAGGCCCAGTAACGTCTCCATTGTGAGACTTTGTTGTTACTGTGTTTGGCATATCGAATACATCACAGGTAGCTTTCCAGGCTTTGCCGTGCGGGCGAGATACTCTCGGTAGCTTGCCAGGCTCTCCGAGAGGGGCAGAGGAATCAAACTTGGCCGCTTGGCCATGTTGGCCGCTTGCAAGGCAAACGCCCTACCGGCTGTGCTATTGCTCCAGCCCGGTCACATGAATATTGCCAAACTTTCAATAACAGATCGTTCATTCCTCTCCTCCCTTTTCCAACCCACTTATCCCAGTTCTGGTGGTTCCACTCTCTCCCGGTAGCAAAGCAGGAGCAACCTTGGACAGGATGTACATTCCACAGGCACACGTATGCATGCACACATGCACGTGCACACACGGTGCCATTGAAATTTGCCCATGAACTTCACAGGCACATCTTTGCCACCTGGGAGGAAATTCAAGAATTTGACAACCCCAAACACACACATAGAGTGTGACTTAGCCACACAAGGGGAAACCTTGCCCCAAATATGATGTTTGTCTCCACCCCCCTGATGGAACAAAATGACCTTCTTATAGGACATGCTCTATTTTCCTAAGTCACTGTCACTATCACTGTCCTCCCGTTGTTCATCAATTTGCTCGAGTGGACCCCGTAAGGTCTCCATCATGAGACTTGTTGTTACTGTGTTTGGCATATTGAATACATCACAGGGAGCTTGCCAGGCTTTGCCGTGCGGGCGAGATACTCTCGGTAGCTTGCCGGGCTCTCTGAGAGGAGTGAAGGAATCAAACCTGGCTCGGCCGGGCCGGCTGTATGCAAGGCAAACGCCCTACCGCTGTGCTATCGCTCTAGCCCTAAGTCAACCAACAATTTTTTTTTTTAAGAAGAAATGAAGGTAAAAACTTTAACTAAGAAATGAATCGGGTTCAAGGTAAAGTTCTTATGGTATGGAATCAAGAAACTGATTCTAGAAAAGGTTGTATATGTGCATGTGTGTGCATGTGTGTGTGGGGGGAGGGGCTGTTTTCCTTCTCCATGAGCACCCCGCCTCCAACCCCTGAGTCTGCCTGCCTGGATGCAGAAGGGAGTGAATCCACTCTACCCTCCTGTGTCCATTTTGTGTGAAGCAGATGCAGAGTGCGAGCTGAGAGAGTCAGCTGCCGTCCTTTGCAGCCTTCACTTTAAAACCATCCATTGCAATACACATGCGCAGA